CAAATTGGAAAAAGGGGTCAAGTTTTAGGGGGCCCTTCCAAAGCACATTTTGTTGCTTTGAGCAAATACTATTTCCTCTACAAATTTAACAAAAATGACCCCCCACCAATCCCACTTTATTTTCTGTCATTCAAGTTCTTGCCTTGATTAAAATTATGTAAGAGTGCTTTATTTGAGGTGTCCCTAGCTAGAAGCATTAAGGATGTCTTTGATGTTGTTTTTGAATTAAAGTCTATTATTGTATGTAAAATATTGGTTCCAATCTAACGGTCAAAACCGAGTTGTAAATGTTACCAAATCAGTAAAATATTATTATGATTTTTCAAATTAAGGTTGGGAATCCATAAAATTTGCCTCTTCTTTTGTGGGTTTTTTTTTTAATCTTCAAAGTATTCAAATTTTGCTAGTTAAATTCAAAACTTTTCTAAAATATTTCAAGTTTGAGCTTTCTAGGTTTGATAATTTCAAAGGTGGTCACATTTTTATGCAATAAATTTAGTTTGTAATTTCCTAGGTATCTTATACTTGTAGCACGTGCAAGAACACACGTGAGAAATATACTTTTGTTTTAATAATTTAATTCACTTCTTCCTAGGAAGAATTTGACATGTATCTAGGATTAAACAAAAAAATTGACGCCCCTAATTTTCTTATAATATCAAATACTTCTCTTGAATTTTAGAAATATGACATTTGTTTTTTAACCACTTGGCTTGTGGTGAAATTGTAAGAACTTAGATTATCTAGAGGTCTTGTGTTCGAATCCTACCAAGTGACCACTTGTCACTTATGTGACTTACCTGACTCATTAGGTTTGTAGGATACATTTATGACTTATTTGACCTATTAAGTTTATAGGGTGTTTAATGAACCTCAAAAATTAGTTCAGGTATGTATAAACTGGTTTAGTTACTTTGGTCACTAAAAAAAAAAAATTGACATTCTTTTTTCTTTTGTAATTCCTAGAAACTTATAATATCAGATTCCCTCTTAGTTGTTTTAAAAATTAGATTAAATTATCCAAATAGCTTATATAAGGATAACTCTTTTTTAAACTAAAAGGGGGTTGAGTGCTAGTTTTTGAATCTTAAGGGTCTAAAAAAAGTAGAAAGAGAGGTTCTGTTAAAAAATCTTCCAAGGGTAAGAACTTGTACGAATTAAAATCCTAATAGCTGCATTCATTCTGTATCCCAAAATTCACTTTGGCAGAAAAAGATTGCCTAAAGATTCGATAAAAGATTCTCTCTTAATTTAACTTCATTTTAAATTCTCGATTTTATGGTGCATGATTATATATTAAAAGTTTTTAGATATAGAGTAATTTTCGAATAACGTCTTGATCACATTGACGCAACTTTCGATTTTGTTCAACACCATTTGAACGGTCTCATCCTATTTTATTCAATGTTAGAATTTAGGATAATATTCAGTGTTTCGAAAACCAGATCAGACCGTTCGATCAGACCATTTTGATCAGGAGTCGGCGACATCTCTGGTTTGGTGTCTTCTAAAAACCGGCATTTTAAATCAAACCGGATTGAGTCGCGGTTAGACCTTTGGAATAGTGTCGAATCGCGGTCCAATCGTAACTCAATCCCGTCGGATTCCGGTATCGTTCAAGGTAGAAAACACCACCATTAGACTTGATGGCATCGCCACGACAAAACCCGTCCATTTTCAGTGGTCGTCGTCTAGCCTTTTGTCGCTCTCCGTCCACCTACAGTTCATGAGACCGTCAGACTTCGTTCTTGATTCCGAAAAATTCTGGAGCCGATAGAACTCCCTAACACCGCCATAATATTCGCCGGCACCTATACATCAAAAGCCCCATGATTCCAAACTTTGATTGGCTGTTGATCGTCGTTGCTGTCACCACTCACCAGTCTCTTCGTGCGACAAGGGTGTTTTAGATAGATTTCAAACCTTAAGGGAGTATTATAGGGGTGTTTTGATAAATTTCAAACATTTAAGGACTAAATTTTTTTTACAGGATACGGTCCAACCGACCGATCAAACCGGTCAAACCAGAAACCGCACTCTTGAACGGGTCATAGTTTGATCCGGTTTTCAGAACATTTATAGTAATATTCTCTCAATCATGTAATACCTTTCGTCACATTTGACATTACTTATTCACCTTTGGTCAATCCCGTCCTCCCTATTTGAACCTTATTTAGGGTTTGGATTAAATATAAAGTGAGATTGGAGCAACCCTAAGCTCATTTAACTCACCCTTAATTAGTTCCATCAAACTTATTTAAACCCTTTTCAAACACATGAAATGAAAACGTGTTGGACACTTTTGTCGCATTTGACACTACCCTCCAATCAGTCCCACCTTAAAAGCAGAGAACTCAATAGTAGATTAAAACCTGACGCTCTTTCGATAAAACTTGTTACCGTCCAAGCATTTATTAACTATGCAAAAATACAATTCTATTAAGTGATGTTGTCTAGTATTTAGGCATCATTATAAATCCAAGATCCAATCTACCGTATACGACAACATCATACTGACGTAGATTAGTTGAATTTAGTTTTTTTGCATAAAGAGAAAGAGTGACCACGTTTACCAAATGAAAAAGGCTACTGACACCACCGATGTTTTGCACCGAATTTTTACACCAAACAACGTGTCTACTGAATCAAATAAGTCACATATCACGTTAACAAATATTCCACGAATGAATGACCATCCATCAAATATGGACGATCGTCCATTGTTATTAGACGACCGTTCATTTGAAATTGACTCCCGTTCACTTAGAATGGACGCCCGTTTATAGTTTAAATTAAAAAAATTTGGCTTAAATTATTTCTGGACGCCTGTCCTGTTATAAGGACGACTGTCCATAGTTATGGACGGTTATCCTCATAAAAGGATGGGCCTCCATCTTTTAATATTAACAAATTATAAATTATAAATTTATTTAATGCATTAATTGTGAATCCTAATTGAGTTAAGAATATGACACTTGTCCAATTACTTTGAGTTAAGAATATGACACTTGTCCAATTACTTTGAATACAGGCCCAAATTTAATGAAGCTTGTCCACTTTGAATATTGAAAAAGATTGAATGAAGATAGTGACATTTATTTTTGGATTGAGACAAAAATTGAATGTAAAATTTTTTAAATTAAACAATGGACAGACGTCCATATAAAAGGGATGCTTATCCATTGAATGTAAAATTTTTTAAAATTTTTTGGATGCTCCATAGTAAATAGACACCTGTCCATATAAGATGGACGAGCCTCTATTTTTTTTCTTTTAAAATTTTTTGGACGGGCATCCATCTTATATGGACGACCGTCCATAGTAAATAGACACCCAGGAGACCATTAAATATGGGCGGGCGTCCATAAATGTTGGACAACCATTCATTCAAGAAAGATTTTAGTATGGTCACGTCTGATTGATTGCCATATCCTTCGACACAAAAATTTGGTGTAAAATTTTAGTGTCTGTAGCATTACTCTTTATCAAATTTGGTCCATCATATTATAGTACGGTGGTGGGCGCAAAAAGTTTACAAGGAAATAATAGGACTATTCTAATTCCTTAGTGGGCCTTGGCTTGACACAACATTCACAATCAATTTTTTTTTTTTTAATTTCAAATTAATTATATAAACTATGTCTCATCCTAACAGTTAAAAGATATTATATTATAGTTTTTTATAACATAATCAACTGAACAAATATTTTAATAATCAAGGGTTGACATTTTTTAATAAAAATATTGGGCATGGAACTGATGGGCTGCTGTGACAGCAAAATCCAATTTCGGTAATGGGCCTAGACTGGGCTGCAACCCATGCCTATAATTTATAAGAGTAATATTGTTTCGAGTACTGTCAAAATTCCAATTTTTTTTTTTGGTTTTTTGAACCACAAGGTGTCCCACACCACATCCAAAGGTACGAGATTAATCCTCATTTCGGGGTTAGGGTAATGCCCCTAACCACAAGGTGCTTCTAGTGAGATTAGAACCATTGACATTGAAGGTGAAGTTCGCCCATTGGTAGTCCAATTACCAGGTGAATCACAACCTCGTGGTTCTAATTTTATATCGTAAGTGACGTCGGTATTGAGGTGGAATCTCACTCACACGAGAGCAAGGAAGCATTAACTTAGAAAAAGGAAATGCAGGTTTTCAAAAAGGGGTGCTGGCAAACATTCAAATTTTGCCCTTAAATCTCGGTTCAATTGAGCTAAGAACTCATGGGAGCAAACCATATGCCTAATCATTTGGAACCCATTAAACACCATACAAGTCCAATGTTTCAAGGTAAACCACAGATGTGGTAGGTGATTTCAAAGAGATTTGAACTTAGAAAGTCAATAAAAGGAGCAAACTTTCTTGACCGCCAAGCCATCCCTCAGGGTTTTGCGTTATTAGCATGAAGCTCCAACCAACTGAGCTAATATGCCACTTTCATGCTTCTAATATAGTTGATGTAGTACTTTCGTGATATTCTAAATTTTTTCATGGCGGGATGATGCGGAGCTCATACGACTGAAATTGCAGAGACATCCATAAAGGATGCATGTATTGATTTTTGGAACCAAGAAGCCAAATAGTAGGCTATTCATCTACAAGGCTGAATCAAACTATTTAAAAAAGATCTAAATGCTCATGACATGCAATTCCAGATGTTGCGATGCACATGTACCATGCTATCAAAACAAAGTATTAGAAGCAAAAAGAGTGTTAACACTGAATATACATCTCTCAAAGTGCTCATAACAAACCATGACTGCTACTGACCGGTGTAAACCTGTCGGCATCTTACTAAGTTCAGCTGAGCCGGCCATTGATTACAGCAGCAAGGTCTTCTGGAAAGGCTTCGGTTAACCAATATTATTCACATTGTTAATCCATGCCTTTCCTTGCTTCAAGTCTTCTGTTTCATTTCTTAGCCTCAACCTGCAGCAATGCACTAATTTTCACTATTCGGCAATTAGATTCATTTTACAAATAGCTTTGAGTCCCTCAAATGTGCTCATTTACTATTAAGTATCCTCCCGGAGTATATGTAACTTCTTCTTTCGAGAGAACAAAGTATATAAATTAAGTAACTTCATAGCGGATTACAAACAGGATAGTTTATTTCCCAAATGGAAAAACCCTCTGAATCAAAATTGACAGAAACAAAAAAGCATATAACAGAAGAAACATCCGGACTCATGTGCATGCCAACAAGTTACACTCTACGGTAATGATTTATATGGCCATTGGAAAGGGTGCAAGGCCATTACAAAATGAAGCAAACCTCACTTGCATTCAACACCAGCTTCAGCAGCCCGTCGAGGCTTGCTTTTTCTCCTACTCCCCTTTTGTCGAAATCCGACAGACTTCATTGATTCATCAGTACTTGGTTTTAGTCCGATGCTACTGTCATGTTTGTCTGTGTCTTTCTCTTCTTTGGCCTGTGTGGATTTCTTCCTCTTCCTTCCATTTGTTATGGCAGCCTGATTCCCTATATCTTTACTACAGATGGAAACTTTTGGATCATTACCATCTTCTACCATCTTCTCAGCTTCTTCTTCTTCGACTTCATCCTTCAATGGCTTTTGTGGCCTTCCCCTTCTCCTGAAAGCTGGAATTTTCAATTCTTCACCACTTCCATAATCCTCACGAGAAGCAATAATCGTTGGCTTCTTTCCCTTTCCCCTGACTCTTCCCATACTCCAAACAACCCTTAAAAAAAAAAAAAAATCTGTAGCAACTTAAACTGACTTCTGCAACAAAAATCAGAGAAACTCAGAAGCAGGACACAAAATTAAGTTATTAAAATGAAACCTAATCACAGAAAAATACTACAAAATCGTAGGCGACAAAAAAGAAAAATATGCACCGTTATCCTAAACAGAAAAAGAAATAGATTTAATCCATTTCATTTAAAAAAAAAAGAAACTGAAGATGGCATCTTCTGAACCAAAAGCATTAGCTTTTAAGGAATAAAGCATATCTTGAGCCTCACTAAAACCAAAAGGATCACCCAAAAAAAAAAAAAAAAAAAAGCATTGAAAATCAACAAAAGGCTACTAAAACTAAACTTTGATCCCAAGACAATGAATCTTCTTTATTTTGCCATTGTTCTCTACATATTGCTCATTTCTCATAAATACATATCTAAATCTTACACCAATTACTGAAAAGTAAAAACTTTGTTTTTCTGATAACTAGAACTCCCACCAAACCCTGCAATCATTGGGAAACGGGAAAAAATGGCCCATGAGGGAGCTTGAACCCCAGACTTTCTGGGAGCAAACCACAAGCCTGAAAACTTACATCGGTCGTATCAGAAAATTCTACATAATTGGATCAAACTTGAGGTTCTTTTTTATCCTACTTAAACTAATCTCAAATATACAATCAAAATTACCAATCAAAAAAATCATCACAAATTATATATGGCAAGCAAAAAAAGAAATACATGCTAGCTTAATTAAAACAATAACAAAAAAGGGGAAAAAAAACAATAATTCTTTCTTTAGCTACTACTTGTTGTAAGTTACTAGCCTCGTTGAAGTAAAGACATCTAACAGTCAAGAAAGTAGCCTGTTTATTTTCTCAGAAACCAAACAAGCCATAGAACAAGAACTCAACCTTACAGAGAAAGAGAAGCTAAGTTGACCTCATAACACAATACAAATCATTCTTTCCATATTTGAGACAGAACCCATGTCTCAGAATCCGATTAAAACAATCGAGAAACTAAGAAAACCCCATCAAACAAATGGGGTTCTGAATCATTTTCAGATTTGAATGGTTTTGACAGTGGAGTTGGAATGTGAAAAGAGGGGGCTGAAACTGTGATCTCAAGAAGAAATGAAGACAACCCAGACAAGGAAAGATGAGTCTGAGAAAAGTAATGGCGAAAAGATTAAGACTTGTGGAGATTACTCAAAGGTTTGTGCTGAGTTTTGAGAGCCTTTAACTAAAGTGCTTCATGTACAGACGCACAGACAATGAAGTGAGAAAGAGAAGGGTAGAGGTACAAAAACATTTTCACTTTTTAATTTTTATAAGGGCTTTATGGTAAATTCATATATAATAATTTTCAAGTGTGGACATTTTTTTTCACACAAATTTTCATATAAAAAATTTGAAAACTTTTGTTTTCTTATGCAAAACTACTCTGGAAAAAAGGTTGGTCCGGATTTAAAATAATAATAATAATAATTAAAATATATATATATATATATATTAAGACACTTTGAGTAAAGAATTTTTGATTAAAATCCAACCGCGAGTAATAATTATATCAATATGTCTTAGACAATATCTCTAAAGAATTTACTCCAAATCGAAAATTTGGATTAAAAAATTAACATCAAGATATTTTGACTTAAGAAAATTAACAATCCAACCGTGGTTAAGAATGATTTTGACATAATTAATACCGGGACGAATACTAAAATACTTTTAAGGTTATAAGTCTATCTTTAATTAAATAGTAAATATTTAAGAAACAATTATAAGTCTATTATTGATTGAAAGTATTTATTATTTTTAAGTTAAAAGTTAATAGTTGGTTTTTACAATTTCAATGTTTTGGTGGACATATCAACTTGAACTTGGATTAACAATAAAAATTTGATATCAATTATAGTTGAGTATATAATTTGTGACGTAAACAAATAATCATATTTGAAATATTTCAACATTGATTAATATGATGGCAACCTAAGGGTTGATCTAACGGTCAAGGAACCCTGATTAAAAATAAAATGATGGTATTGTAATGGGATTTGTATTTATTGCTTAAAACATATTTAATTATTCTTTATTCAAACTAAAATTCAGAAATTTTTGAAAAACAAGTGGTTGAACTTTGATTTGTGTGCTATATGAGCATTCGCGATTTAAGCAGAATGCTGTGACGGTGGATCGTTATGCTAATTTCTCCTGAAAACTAGTTAAGGTATGCGTAAAGTAATCTGAATACCTTGGTTAAGAAAAAAAAAAAAAAAAAAACTCTTTGATTTGTGTGCTATTTTTTTGTTGGTTTTTTTATGTCATTCCCTTGTCAATTGTGAATCCATACTCCATATCAACCTCTCAAATTAGCAACAAATAAGGGAAATCTATTTCCCAATAAAATAAAATAAATTTAAAAAAAAAACAACAAATAGGAGTGGTCCTTGTAAATAATTTGCGTTTTTTTTTATTTTTTATTTTTTATTTTTTGCTTTCAATTTTTCAATAATGTAGAAAATTGTTGATATGTCAAACAAGAGATGAGTTGAACCAAACATACATGAATTTAATAGAAACTTCGCTTTCACTTTGATTGGCATAGGAAAGGAAGCAAAATTATCGATGTAAATGCTTGTATTTTTTTAGATTGAACCTTATATTTATTGGTGTCTATTAATGCTAAAAGACAATATTTGTAGTATTCGATATGAGAAAACCTGATTGAAATTTTGTCTTTTAATATTCACGGATGATACAAGATTGTGAACCACACCAAGTAACCAGGTCCATGTTTTTTAAAAGAGATGAACTATTGGAATGAAATAAATTACTCTTTCATGTAGCATGTAAAAGTACAATTCTATCAAGCTCCCTGTAAAACACGATGGGTAGAACCATTTCTCAAAGGAGCTCCAATGCTTGAAAGAACGATGAAACTATAAACAAACAAGAACTACGACAACAATTACCTGGTCATGAGTTTGCTTGGCTTCATAAATTTCATCTGCCACTAAAATTGAAGACAATCAGCTTCAATTAACAATGTGTGTATAAACAACTAATGACATATCTCTGAAATTGAAGAACTAAATCAAGATCTTCATATCATTTTTTCGGACAATTTTGTTTCTTTAGATCCTGCCAAACTTGAGGACCTCCAGGATGAAGATTTACATACCGAGCTTCAAATATGTTATCCATACATGTAATTAAAGTACTCAAGCTCAACATAGGTTCTACTACTCCTTGATCTTTAAGCCAATTATACAATAATAATCTAACCTTGACCCTCTGCATTGTATACAAAAGATATGAGGGGGATGATATCAAAGACGAAATAGGGTAATCCAAATCATTCACAAGAAAGTCTATCTTTGTTTTGATGACATCCTTTGACTGGTTAAGGATTAGAGGACATGCTCTTACCATTTCACAAACATCTTTTCGATCAATACCAGCTTTTGCGAGAATATCAAATCTCTCCTGAAGTTTGCATCCTTTGGCTCGTACAAGCTTCTGTGCCTTTTCCATTTCTTTTGAGTTCTTTACAAATCCTACACCTATCAAAAATTTGGTCTTCAGCTTTTGTGATCTTTCCTTCTCTACTGAATTTGAGAAAGGCTCAACTCTCGACCCCATAACCCATTTCTTCATTTCTTGAGGGTTCTCAAGGATGTATTCACAAAGACGTTTTTTTCCAACATTCAAGGCATTAAGTAAACTATTAGTTTTCTTCAAAGAACATGAACCAAGCAACACAGGGTGAGCACGGACGAAATTCGTAATCTCCTTAGCCTCCATCTCAATCTCATTCAGGAACATAAAACATTGCCTCGAATTCAAAATAAATTTCTCCACTTGAATTTGTGGGAACTGCTGAAACATCGAGCATATCTCATTCTTTGTTGATCCGAATTTTAGTAGAAAACCAATCAGGGTAAGTGCCCTATCCCCTGATCCCTCCAAGAGAAGTTCAGGATGCTCCCTGATTATTCTACCGAACTGTTCCTCACTGCAACAAATCTCGCTAAGTAAGCTTAAAAAACTAAGCATCATACGCCAATTACAAGAATTTTTCTTTAACAAATGTTCCTCAATCCAAAAGAATTCAATTCCCACACTTTTCAACATTTCTAACACCTTAACAAATTCCTCATTTACATTTCCAATCAAAAGATAAGGAGTACAGACTATAGACTTCCTTATAACAGACTGGCTAAGCCCCAGTTTCTCATAAGCTTGAAGCTTTGATGGCAAAACTCCAACATTATATCGAAAAACTTCTGTTGCTTCTTTATAAATCTTCCCTATATTATTTCGTTCGATACCATAATTAAACAAAACATGATGGTTCTCTAGCAACAACTCATCATCACTCAAAAACATCAAATCACGCGGAAGAAAAGGACTATACTCGCTAGGCGTCAATCCCAAACTCTCAAAGAAAAGCTCAAATTCATTAATAGGATGATAACGCAAAAACCGCGTAATAGACGACCCAATATCTCCTTCATTTTCAACCCTTTTCAAAATATTTTGAAGAAAAAAAGGTGAGTTTTTGCTCATACTATCAGCATCTATGAACTGTAAGTTCCTAGTGGAATGCAAATATTCTGATAATGCAGCTTGAGCTTGTCTTCTAGTAGAAACAGAGACTTTTTTAATATCTTCATTAACACTTCCACCATTTTCAGTTTTAACACTTTTTTTTGTTCTATAAAGCCTAGGCTTTTGAGCAAAGTAAAATGACCCAATTGGGTTTCCAACAAAACTTGAAGAACCCCATTTGAGGATAGATATTTTTCTAAGTTTCTGCAAATGGGTCATGCTTATTTATAAAGAAGCACAAGAAAGGCTAAGTTTAAGCTGAACACAAATGAACACCAAGTGTTTGGTTAAATGTCTTACCTTTGGGTTTGATTTTTCATGGGTTTGCTGAGTTCTAGTCTCAAGGTAGGAAGCTTTGAAGCTTTAGCTCTTGAGTTTGGTCTTGTTTCGATGACTCAGTAGCTGCCATGAAGGGCGCTTCAGTTGCAGAACGTTTAACGAATAGAGTTTGTAGATGTTAATCAACGATGACTCCTTTAGGGTTTTGGTAATTTCTCATTTACTAAATTTTGTTTTCTTACAGATACACCCTTTAAACTGTGTCTGTCACTGACCCCACTGTTTTAAAAAATTCACACTTGTCTCCCCAACTATTCCTTTAGTGTGATAATGGATATATTATGCATTTTATCTTGTGTCTTTAAGGCATTTACTTAAACTACTAAAATACAAATCTTTGATGATATTAATATTCGATGTATTAATCATCACTGGACGACCTGATGGTAAAAAAACAAAGGGGTCCAACAGGGGTTCCTGAATTCGAGTCCTTGCAGGCGCTCATAGGGATGGCTAGTGAGAGGATTTATCCGATTATAAACTTCAGAGCTTCATAAGATTAGTTAAGGTGCCCGTAAGCTGGCCCGAACACCCTTGGTTAAAAAAAAAAAATATTCTATGCATTATATATATATATATATATATCTTTGGTAAATATAATGTATCAATATCATTTTTTTTATTTTATATGTTAGTGTTCTTAATGTGAACTCAAATATATGCTTTTAAAACACACGTTAAGAGCACTCTTTTGTGTGTATATATATATATTGTTCATTTTTCATTTTGGAATTTGGTTTGTTAAAAAAAAAAAAAAAAACAGTTTCTGCTTATGGAAATTAAATTAAGAGTTTACGTTCACAAGAGGTTGTACCTGCTGCTAATGCAGGCTCATCTAGTTCATATTAGTAGTCAATGCAATATTTGACAAAGCTTACTACCCAGAAATTTGTTGCTAGAATCACGCAAAAATGTCTTAAGGACAGTGGCCTCTAAGCAAATCATATCTATTCTCCATGGGAATGAACTGTTAGCTCTGAATCAGATAACAAAATCAAATCGGAAAGTTTCACAAGAAGCGATGCGACAAGTTAATCGACCAATTTGTGAGACATGGAAGCAAATTTAGGGCGTCATAATTATAAGAAAAAGAGAAGAAAAACTCTAAATAAAAGTAGAGACTGTACAAGCTGTTAGATTGATGAGCTGTTCTTAAATCCTCAGTAATAATTCAAGTACTGATCTTTTTGTCACGGTTTCACTTAGGTTACTTACAGACAGAGAGGGGCGCGGGCCGGGAGATTCCCGCCCCAGACTACGGCCTCATTCCTTGTCCCTAAATAATATTAATAACAAAGAATCAACAGAATACAATCTCTTCAATCTCCTCCCAAAATCACAAATAACTCAGTAAACAAAGAATAGCAATAAATTTAAACTCTCTATACCAAACAAATATCCTCTAATTAATGCTTCAAGAGACCCAAAACAGAGAACAACTGAACAAGGAACAGGGACAGAAAGCCCAGCTCCTGTGTGCGGAGAAGGCGCTGGCGCCAGAGCTTTCTGAGCAGAGACGGTGGCGGAGAAGATTGCCATGGCCAATACCAGCAAGAATGCCTTGGTAATGCTAACCAGAGACCTCTATCCCCGTCCCCGGTGACGGGAATTTTCTGGTCCCCATTCCCCCTTTTTTCTGGGGAAAAGATCCATCTCTACTTACAGAAAATCAGCTTTCGCATTTTTTTGCGTGGACATAGCAGTTTGATGAATCTCTCGGCTTGTAGAACAACAAAATCATGAATCTTGTCAGCAATGACTTGGCTCATTGAATGGTAGAACCCAATGAAGTACAAACTACAAGAACTGACTTCTACAGCTCTAAATAAATTTGTTTCTTTAAATCCTGCCAAACTTGAGGGCCTTTCGGATGCTTATGTACATACCGCTTCATGAATGTGTTATTCGAGCATGCAATGAGAGTACTCAAGGCCAACATAGGTTCCGCCTTTCCTTGTTCTGTAAGCAAATTATACATCGATAGCCTAAGCTTGATCCTCTGCATTGTATAGTTTAGATATGATGGAAATTGCAATAAAGATGATATGGGATAACCCATATCATGCACAAGAAAATCCATTTTTGCTTCAATGACATTCTTTTTCTGGTTAATAATTTGAGGGGAAACTCTAATCATTTCAGAAACATCCTTTCTATCTAAGCCAGCATTCACAATACAATCAAATCTCTCCTGAAGCTCCTCTCCTCTGCCTCGAAAAGGCTTCACTGCTCTTTCTGCTTCATTTGGATTCTGTATTAATCCCACGTCCTCCAAGAACTTAGTCTTCACCATTAGAGATCTTTCTCTGTCTCTTGACCTCGGTAATCGTTCAACTTTTGAACCCCTAACTAGATTTTCCAGATTGTTGGGATTCTCCTGGATGTATTCACAAAGTCGCTTCTTCCCAACATTCAACATGCACAAAATGCTATTAGGTCTCTTTAACGTACATGTACCCAGCAACATGGAATGAGATCGGAAAATCTTACCAATCTCATCCATCTGCATGTCAATCTCTAAAAAGAACATAAAGCATTCCTTCAAATTTGTGAAAAATCTTCCCACTGGAATTTGTGGGAACTGCAGAAACATCAAACGAACTTCATCCAGAGTAGACCCAAATTTTAATAAAAGCCCTATCAGAGTACGTGCTCCATCCCCCGAACCCTCCAAGAGCAGTCCTGGATGTTGCCAGATTAATGTACCTAACTGCTCCTCACTCAAACCCATCTCGCTAAATAAGCTTAAAAGCCTAAGCATTTTACTCCAATTATAAGAATTCTGTTCCATCAATTGCTCCTCGATCAAACTGAATTTAACCCCTATACTATTCAATGTCTCTAACACCTTAACAAACTCCCTATTTACATCCCCAATCAAGATATAAGGACTACATACAATAACTTTACCAATAATACTCTGACTAAGCCCCAGTTTCTCATACGATTGAAGCTTCGTTGACAGAACTCCACAATCATATTGAAAAATGTCCCTTGCCTCCTTATACATCTTCCCTATCTTTTTTCTCTCAACACCATAATTACACAAAACATAATAGTTCTCTAGCAACAAATTATCGTCACTCAAGAACATCAAATTGCGTGGAAGAAAAGGACTGTACTCACTAGGTTTCAATCCCATACTCTCAAAGAAAGGCTCAAATTCATTAATAGGATGATACCGCAAAAACCGAGAAATAATCTCCTTCAAATCCAACTCCTGCTCCACCCATTTTAACAGCTTTTCGACAAAATAAGGTGAGTTTTTGCTCATATTCTCAGCTTCCAAGAACTGTAAATTCCTAGTCAAGTGCAAATACTCCAACAATGCAGCTTGAGCTGCCTTCCAAGCAGCAGAAGATAGTTTAACAACATAATTAGAATCACTACTAGCTGGTGAAGTTCTAACTTTATTTTCAATATTTGCGTTCTCAACCCCTCTTTTTGTTCCATAAAATCTAGAGTTTTGAGCAATGTAAACAGACCCAGATGGCCAAAACGGTGTCTTTGATACGGAAATGAAGGTTTCAACTAAATTTAAAGAAACCCATTTGAGAATAGATGTTGTTCTAAGTTTCTGCAAATGGGTCATAACTACTGTGATCAAACATACATAAAAAGCAACGAAAGGAGAAATTAAGATGGATGAAAATGAATATGCAGTATCTTACCTTGGAGTTTTACATTTTTTTGTTGGGTTTAGCATTAACTGAGAAGAAAGACTGAAGCTTTCGCAGGAATACTCAGTGCGCTTCATGGGTTTAGGGATTAGTCACAACTCGCAAGGGTAGGGTTTTGGATGATGAAGCTTAATGATGGGCGTTTGGTTATTTAGGACGGTATGATAACTATTTCACGCCCCAAAGGTTTGTAAATATACCAATTAAATCCCCTGATGGAGGTTGGAAAACATAAATAAGGCTGAATATTTTTAAGTAACCTTCATGAAATTGACACGTAAAAACTCAAAAGACCAAGAAGTTTAAATTTTTCATAAAAATCTAAAGAATACCCTTATTTAATTTTATAAATATAAAATAGGTCGAAATACATTTTCACACCCTAGGTTTAGCGAAACCTGGGGTGGGAAAAGTAGATTCCCCAAACTTAGTGCGGAAAAAGTAGATTTTTATGAAATTTCATCGCTAATTACCCATTTTCATAAACAATTATGTAAAAAAGATATATGTCGACGTTGTCTTGCTTGCCCAATCAACATTTTGTAATTGTAAAAGTGAAAGGAAATAGTGAGGGACCAATACCATTTGTGACGAATAAAGTATTATATATGTAAATAACTAATAAAAATAGTAAGTTACAAATGTGATGAGTGACCACGTTATGAGATTCGAACACAAATTCTTAGGATAATCTATCTAGATAATTAAAGTCTTATAATCCGACAACATAAACTAAGTGGTTTATTATACAATATTTGTAAATTACAAGTTGTTAGGGCCAAAAATCGTCTTGAGCTTGACGAGGCCTAATAACGAAATAAACGTGTTATGGCCTAAGGCCTCAACCCAATCCCGATTGGGCCTACGCTTAAAATCACCTTGCAAACTACCCACTCTATGAGTTCAGTTATCCTATAAGTTAAGCTAAACTGGGTTTCAGCCCATTAGCCTGCAACAGTCTATAAATAGGAAATCAGAATCCNTGGAAATGAATATGCAGTATCTGACCTTGGAGTTTTATTTGTTGGGTTTAGCGTTAACTGAGAAGAAAGACTGAAGCTTTCGTAGGAAGACTCAGTGCCCTTCGCGGGTGTAGGGTTTAGTGACAAGGGTTTTGGATGATGAAGCTTAAATTCATGCGTTTGGTGATTTAGGTCAGTATGGATAAATAATGTCATGTCCCAAAAGGTTTGTAAATATATCAGTTAAATACCCTGATGAAGTTTGTACTTTGTAGAACAAAAATAAGGCTGCATTACATACTTCCATACTAGGTTTGGCGAATTTGTTTTCCTAATCTAAGTTTCACTAAACCTAGGGTGGAAAAACATATTTGGCCCACAAATTAAATCTTAGAGGTAAAGGTTATAAATTTTGCAAAATATATCCATGAAATAAAAACAAAAACATACATAATCTCTTGATTACATTCAGCCCAATTATTCTAAACACCTAATTTCTCAAAAATCTAAAGAATACCCTTATTTAGTTTAATAAATATAACATTATTATTTTACTGAAAATTCATATAATTTAAGTAAATAACTAGTAATGTAACTGAGGAGTTTTTAGCCATATTTTCAAAAGTATAGAGGTGTTTGAAATTTATAGAAAAGCTTAGCGCGGATTAGAGAATTAGCTATCAAGTTTTTGTGTGGAGAAAAATAAATTATCAGTAATGTAGGGTCCACAACCCAATCTCATCACATTCTCTCACAATCTCTGATGTGACAGCTCGTAATTGGTCAGCTTGCAAATTAATAAGTGGGACCTATCACAAGTAGACGAAACTCATTTGCGAACTAACCAATTACGAGCTACCACGTCGGAGGTTATAAGAGAAGATTGTAAGATTGGGTTATAAACCTAGCATTACTCTTACTTAATAGAAGTCTTATTCTGAGGTTTCTTTAGATCATAAAAATTCCCAACGGTTAGTGAACGTTAGAGTTTACATTATTATGAGTAAAGTATATTCACCAACATACCCTCTCACCTTTTATTTTGACAACTAAGACTTAACAGTATGATAAATTTTGTTGTTCTAAAAGTTTTAGAGGGATTTTGGTTATTTAATCACCCTTTAGGGGTTTTGGGAGAGTATTAAGACTATCCATAATAACCTCTGTAATTGTTCAACTTCTGAACTGCTAACTAATTTTTAGATTGTTGGATTCTCCTGGATGTATCACAAAGTCCTTCTTCCCAACTTCAACAAGTTAAAAATGCACTAGTTCTCATTAAATACATGTACCCACAACATGGAATGAGATCGGAAAATCTACCATCTCATCCATCTCCATGTCATCTCAAAAAAACTTAGCATTCCTCAATTTGAAAAAATCTTCCCACTGCAATTGTGGGGACTGCAGTAAAGCAAACGAACTTCATCCAAGTAGACCCAAATTTTAATAAAAGTCCTATCAGAGTAAGTGTCCATCCCCTGAACCCTCCAAGAGCGTCCTGGATGTCGCCGGATTAATTTACCTAACTGCTCCTCACACAATCCCATCTCGCTAAATAAGCTTAAAAGCCTAAGCATTTTACTCCAATATAAGAATTCTGGTCCATCGAGTGCTCCTCACAAACTGAATTTAACCCCTATACTCTTCAATGTCTCTAACACCTTAACAGCTCCATATTTACATCCCCAATCAAGATATAAGGACTATAGACGATAACTTTACCAATAATACCTGACAAGCCCCAGTTTCTCATAAGCTTGAAGCTTCGATGACAGAACTCCAAAATCATATCGAAAAATGTCCTTGCCTCCTTATAGATCTTCCCTATATGTTTCTCTCAACACCTAATTACACAAAACATAATAGTTCTCTAGCAACAAATCATCATCACTCAAAACATCAAATTGGAGAAGAAAAGGACTATACCCTAGTTTCAATCCTATACTCTCAAGAAAGGCTCAAATTCATTATAGGATGATACCGCAAAAACCGAGAAATAATCTCCTTCAAATCAGACCCCTCCTCCACCATTTTAAAAGCTTTTCGACAAAATAAGGTGAGTTTTTGCTCTATTCTCAGCATCCGAAGCTGTAAATTCCTAGTCAAGTCAATACTCCACACAGCAGCTTGAGCTGCCTTCCAACAGCAGAAGATAGTTTACACATAATTAGAATCACTACTAGCTGGTGAAATTCTAACTTATTTTCAATATTTGCATTCTCAACCCCTCTTTTTCTTCCATAAAGTCTAGAGTTTTGAATGTAAACACACCCAGATGGCCAAACGGTGTGAAAAATCTTCCCACTGGAATTTTTCGGGACTGCAGAAACATCAAACGAACTTCATCCAGGTATACCCAATTTTAATAAAAGTCCTATCAGAGTAAGTGCTCCATCCCCCGAACCCTCCAAAGCATCCTGGATGTCGCCGGATTAATTACCTAATTGCTCCTCACTCAATCCCATCTCGCTAAAAAGTTAAAAGCCTAAGCTCTTACTCCAATTATAAGAATTCTGTTCCATCGAGTGCTTCTCAATCAAACTGAACTTAACCCTATACTCTTCAATGTCTCTAACACCTTAACAAACTCCATATTTACATCCCCAATCAAGATATAAGACTACATCTTTAACATAATACTCTGACTAAGGCCCAGTTTTTCATAAGCTTGAACTTCGTGACAGAACTCCAAAATCATATTGAAAAATGTCCCTTGCCTCCTTATAGATCTTCCCTATTTTTTCCTCTCAACACCATAATTACACAAAACATAATAGTTCTCTAGCAACAACATCATCACTCAAGAACATCAAATTGTGCGGAAGAAAAGGACGATACTCACTAGGTTTCAATCCTACACTCTCAAAGAAAGGCTCAAATTCATAATAGGATGATACCACAAAAACCGAGGAATAAGCCCTTCAAATCCATCCCCCACCGATTTTAACAGATTTTCAACAAAATAAGGTGAGTTTGGCTCATTCTCAGCATCCAGGAACTGTAAATTACAGTCAAGTGCAAATACTCGAACAATGCCGTTGAGCTGCCTTCCAAGCAGCAGAATATAGCTTACCAAAATATTTAGAATCGCTACGTCTGGTGAAATGCTACTTTATTTTCATATTGCATTCTCAACCCCTCTTTCTCTTCCAAAGTCTAGAGTTTGAGCACTGTAAACAGTCTCAGATGGCCAAAATGGTGTCTTTGATACGGAAATGAAGTTTTCAACTAAATTTAAAGAACCCATTGAGGAATAGATGTTGTTCCAAGTTTCTGCAAATGGGTCATAACTACGTGACCAAATATACATAAAAAGCACAAAGGAGAATTAAGCTGGATGAAGCTGGATGAAAATGAATATGCAGTATCTGACCTTGGAGTTTATTTGTTGGGTTTAGCGTTAGCTGAGAAGAAAGACTGAAGCTTTCGTAGGAAGATTCAGTGCCCTTCGCGGGCATAGGGTTTAGTGACCAAGGGTTTCGGATGATGAAGCTTAAAGATGTGCGTTTGGTTATTTAGCAAAGTATGACAAATATCGTCACGCCCCAAAGGTTTGTAAATATTTCAATTAAATCCCCTGATGAAATTTGAAAAACAAAAATAAGGCTGACTTACATATTTCCACACTAGGGTTGGCGAATTTTCTTTCCCACTCCAAGTTTCACCAAACCTAGGGTGGGAAAATAAATTTCGGCCCATAAATTAAATCTTAGAGGTAAAGGTTATAAATTTTGCAAAATAAATCCATTAAATAAAAACAAAAACATACATAATCTCTTGATTACATACAGCCCAATTATTCTAAACACCTCATTTCTCAAAAACCTAAAGAATACCCTTATTTAGTTTAATAAATATAACATTATTATTTCACCGAAAATTCATATGATTTAAGTAAATAACTAGTAATTTAACAGAGGTGTCGTCAACAATATTTTCATAAGTATAGAGGTGTTTAAAATTTATAGAAAAGCTTAGCGGGGATTATATAATTAGCTATCAAGTTTTTGCGTGGAAAAGAAAAAATTAATATACCCCCCAAGATATTAGTTAAGTAGTATTGCTAAGTCCAAAACCTAATCTCATCACATTCTCTCACAATCTTTGATGTGATAGCTCGTAGTTAGTCAGTTCGCAAACGACCAAGTGAGACCTATCGTAAGCAGACGAAACTCATTTACGAACTGATCAATTATGAGCTGTCACGTCAGAGATTGTGAGAAAAGATTGTAAGATTAGGTTGTGGACTTAGCATTACTCTTACTTAATAGAAGCCTTCTTCTGATTTTTTTTTGGATCATAAAAATTCCCAACGGTTAGTGAGCGTTAGAGTTTACATTATTATGAGTAAAGTATTTTTACAACATACCCTCTTATGTTTTATTTTGACAGGTAAGATTTAACAGTAGGATAAATTTTGTTGTTCTACAAATTTTAGAGGGATTTTTGTTATTTAATCACTCTTTAGGGGTTTCTTTGGACCATAAAAATTCCCATGAGCGTTAGAGTTTACATTATTATGAGTAAAGTATATTTACAACATACCCTCTTCCGTTTTATTTTGACAACTAAGACTTAACAGTAGGATAAATTTTGTTGTTCTAGAAATTTTAGAGGGATTTTTATTATTTAATCACCCTTTAGGGGTATTGGGAGAGTATTAAGACTATCCACAAAGTTTTGAAGTTATCATTTGATTAATAACTTTTGAACATTTATAGCAGACCCTCAAAGTTGGAAAATGTATCATTAATACGTTTCTGCCTTAACTCCATTATGTTGTGTTAAGTGTTAGATGGGTAAAATAGTGACTTTGGCTTTTAGGGTAGACTGTTTTGTAAACCTAATGACAATATGACTTAGTTAGGCAAAGGTGTATCTGTGACGGAGGTTTTAAACTTTGAGGGTTATCATTGATACATTTTTCAAATTTTGAGGGTGTGTTTGTCAGCAAACGTTGAAATTGTCATCTGAATGATAGTTTTCTATACCCTAAGGGTAGTCGATGATATGCTCCAATTATATTTTAATAGGAAAGTTTGTAATAACAAAGTGTGCTTAATCAAGTGGTGGGGTGTGTTCAGAAATGAAATACTCTAAGCCTTGGGCCGTCCATCCTTTAAATTGATGGCGATATGGTAAGACTTTAGATTTAGAACCCGCCCAAGTTATTTTCTAAACCCTGAAGTAATTATTGGCTTACAGAAATTGATCAAAACTGTGGATGGATTGATGAATTTCTCAGCTTGAAGAGCAACAAAATCATGTATCTTGTCAGCAATTACATGGATCATTGAATGGCAGAACCCAAGGAAGTACAAACGAAAAGAACAGACTTCTACTGCTCAGAATAAATTTGTTTCTTCAAATCCTTCAAAACTCGAGGGCCTTCCGGATGCTGATTTACAAAACGCTTCATGAATGTGTTATCGGAGAATGCAATGAGAGTACTCAAGGAAAGCATAGGTACCGCCTTTCCTTGTTCTGTGAGCCAATTATACATCGATAGCCTAAGCTTGATCCTCTGCATTGAATAGTTTAGATATCCTGGGTATGACAATAAAGATGATATGGGATAACCCAAATCATGCACAATAAAATTGATTTTCGCTTCAATGATACTCTTTTTCTGGCCAATAATTGAAGGGCACAGTCTAATCATTTCAGTAACATCCTTTCTATCTAAGCCAGCATTCACAATACAATCAAATCTCTCCTGAAGCTCCTCTCTTCTGCCTCGAAAAGACTTCAATGCTCTTTCCGCTTCATTTGGATTCTGTATTAATCCCACATCCTCCAAGAACTTAGTCTTCGCCATTAGAGATCTTTCTCTGTCTCTTATCCTCGGTAATCGTTTAACTTTTGAACCCCTAACTACATTTTTCAGATTGTTGGGATTCCCCTGGATGTATTCACGAAGTCGCTTCTTCCCAACACCCAAATGGCCAAAAATGCAACTAGTTCTCTTTAAAGTACATGTACCCAACAACATGGAATGAGATCGGAAAATCTTACCAATCTCATCCATCTCCATGTCAATCTCAAAAAAGAACTTAAAGCATTCCTTCAAGTTTGTAAAAAATCTTCCCACTGGAATTTGTGGGGACTGCAGTAAAGTCAAACGAACTTCATCCAGAGTAGACCCAAATTTTAATAAAAGTCCTATCAGAGCAAGTGCTCCATCCCCTGAACCCTCCAAGAGCAGTCCTGGATGTCGCCGGATTAATTTACCTAACTGCTCCTCACACAATCCCATCTCGCTAAATAAGCTTAAAAGCCTAAGCATTTTACTCCAATTATAAGAATTCTGGTCCATCGAGTGCTGCTCAATCAAACTAAATTTAACCCCTATACTCTTCAATGTCTCTAACACCTTAACAAACTCCATATTTACATCCCCAATCAAGATATAAGGACTATAGACGATAACTTTACCAATAATACTCTGACTAAGCCCCAGTCTCTCATAAGCTTGAAGCTTCGATGACAAAACTCCAAAATCATATCGAAAAATGTCCCTTGCCTGCTTATAGATCTTCCCTATATTTTTTCTCTCAACACCATAATTACACAAAACATAATAGTTGTCCAGCAAAAAATTATCGTCACTCAAGAACATCAAATTGCGAGGAAGAAAAGGACTATACTCACTAGGTTTCAATCCTATACTCTCAAAGAAAGGCTCAAATTCATTAATAGGATGATACCGCAAAAACCGAGAAATTATCTCCTTCAAATCAGACTCCTCCTCCACCCATTTTAATAGCTTTTCGACAAAATAAGGTGAGTTTTTGCTCATATTCTCAGCATCCGAAAACTGTAAATTCCTAGTCAAGTGCAAATACTCCAACAATGCAGCTTGAGCTTCCTTCCAAGCAGCAGAAGATAGTTTACTAACATAATTAGAATCACTACTAGCTGGTGAAATTCTAACTTTATTTTCAATATTTGTATTCTCAACCCCTCTTTTTCTTCCATAAAGTCTAGAGTTTTGAGCAATATAAACAGACCCAGATGGCCAAAAAGGTGTGAAAAATCTTCCCACTGGAATTTTTCGGGACTGCAGAAACATCAAACGAACTTCATCCAGAGTATACCCAAATTTTAATAAAAGTCCTATCAGAGTAAGTGCTCCATCCCCCGAACCCTCCAAAAGCAGTCCTGGATGTCGCCGGATTAATTTACCTAACTGCTCCTCACTCAATCCCATCTCGCTAAAAAAGCTTAAAAGCCTAAGCATCTTACTCCAATTATAAGAATTCTGTTCCATCGAGTGCTTCTCAGTCAAACTGAATTTGACCCCTATACTCTTCAACGTCTCTAACACCTTAACAAACTCCATATTTACATCCCCAATCAAGATATAAGGACTACATACAATAACTTTACCAATAATACTCTGACTAAGGCCCAGTTTCTCATAAGCTTGAAGCTTCGATGACAGAACTCCAAAATCATATTGAAAAATTTCCCTTGCCTCCTTATAGATCTTCCCCATGTTTTTTCTCTCAACACCATAATTACACAAAACATAATAGTTCTCTAGCAACAAATCATCATCACTCAAGAACATCAAATTGCGCGGAAGAAAAGGACTATACTCGCTAGGTTTCAATCCTACACTCTCAAAGAAAGGCTCAAATTCATTAATAGGATGATACCGCAAAAACCGAAGAATAATTTCCTTCAAATCCAATTCCTTCTCCACCGATTTTAACAGATTTTCAACAAAATAAGGTGAGTTTTTGCTCATATTCTCAGCATCCAGGAACTGTAAATTACTAGTCAAGTGCAAATACTCGAACAATGCAGCTTGAGCTGCCTTCCAAGCAGCAGAATATAGCTTACCAAAATATTTAGAATCGCTACTAGCTGGTGAAATGCTAACTTTATTTTCAATATTTGCATTCTCAACCCCTCTTTCTCTTCCATAAAGTCTAGAGTTTTGAGCACTGTAAACAGTCTCAGATGGCCAAAATGGTGTCTTTGATACGGAAATGAAGTTTTCAACTAAATTTAAAGAAACCCATTTGAGAATAGATGTTGTTCCAAGTTTCTGCAAATGGGTCATAACTACTGTGACCAAATATACATAAAAAGCACAAAAGGAGAAATTAAGCTGGATGAAAATGAATATGCAGTTTCTGACCTTGGAGTTTTATTTGTTGGGTTTAGCGTTAACTGAGAAGAAAGACTGAAGCTTTCGTAGGAAGACTCAGTGCCCTTCGCTGGCGTAGGGTTTAGTGACGAGGGTTTTGGATGATGAAGCTTAAATTCATGCGTTTGGTAATTTAGGACAGTATGATAAATAATGTCATGTCCCAAAAGGTTTGTAAATATATCAATTAAAGACCCTGATGAAGTTTGTACTTTGTAAAACAAAAATAAGGCTGAATTACATACTTCCATACTAGGTTTGGAGAATTTGTTTTCCCAATCAAGTTTCACTAAAACTAGGGTGGGAAAATATATTTCGGCCCATAAATTATATCCTAAAAGTTAAAGGACTAAAGGTTAAATTTTTTGCAAAATATATCCATGAAATAAAAACAAAAACATACATAATCTCTTGATTACATACAGCCCAATTATTCTAAACACCTAATTTCTCAAAAATGTAAAGAATACCCTTATTTAGTTTAATAAATATAACATTATTATTTCACTGAAAATTCATATAATTTAAGTAAATAACTAGTAATGTAACTGAGGAGTTTTTAGCAATATTTTCAAAAGTATAGAGGTGTTTAGAATTTATAGAAAAGCTTAGCGCGGATTAGAGAATTAGCTATCAAGTTTTTGTGTGGAGAAGAAAAAATTATCAGTAATGCAAGGTACACAACCCAATCTTATCACATTCTTTCACAATCTCTGATGTAACAGCTCGTAATTGGTCAGCTTGCAAATGAATAAGTGGGACCTATCACAAGCAGACGAAACTCATTTGCGAACTAACCAATTACGAGCTACCACGTCGGAGGTTGTGAGAGAAAATTGTGAGATTGGATTGTAAACCTAGCATTACTCTTATTTAATAGAAGTCTTATTCTGAGGTTTTTTTGGATCATAAAAATTCCCAACGGTTAGTGAGCGTTAGAGTTTACATTATTATGAGTAAAGTATATTCACCAACATGCCCTCTTACCTTTTATTTTGACAACTAAGACTTAACAGTATGATAAATTTTGTTGTTCTAGAAGTTTTAGAGGGGTTTTGGGAGAGTATTAAGACTATCCATAAAGTTTTTACGTTATCATTTGATTAATAACTTTCGCACTCTTTGTAACAGACACTCAAAGTTGGAAAATGTCTCATTAATACCTTTCTTCCTTAACTCCATTATGTTGTGTTACTGTGAGATGGGTAAAATAGTGACTTTGGCTTTAAGGGTAAAATTATAACTTTTTATAAGAGTGTTTTGTAAACCTAATGAGTAACGGCAATATGACTAAATTAGGCAAAGGGGTATGAGCGATGGAGGTTTTAAACTTTGAGGGTTTATTAAAGGTAAAAGGTTATCATTGATATATTTTTCAAATTTTGGGGGTTTATTGCCGAGCAAACATTGAAATTGTCGTCTGAATAATATAATTTTGTAAACCCTAAGGGTAGTCTATGATATTCTCAAATTATATTTTAATAGGAAAGTTTGTAACAACAAAGTGTGCTTAATCAAGTGGTGGGGTGTGTTTAGAAATGAAATACTCTAAGCCTCGATAATACTAATCTAACAAACCCCTCTCACTAACCTCATGTGGGAGTTTGTGATTGATTTGATAAGACGAGACCCATTTTGGATAGACGAGATCCATGTGAACTGACGAATTGTGAACTGACACGTTACGTTTGTGAGAGAAAGTTAATGAGGAGTGTTTGTGAGTGTAGTGTTACTCTTATAAGCTTTGGGCCATCCCTCCCTTAAATTGATGGCAATGCAGTAAGACTTTAGATTTAGAACCCACAAATTATTTTCTAAACCCTGAAAGTATCATTAATTACTTCAGGGATGGGCTTACAGAAATTGATCAAAACTATGGATGGATTGACAATATCCACTATGATATAGGAACCCATGTCTACTCGCAAATCTCACAATGCTATCTGGTGGATGCAGTAAGTTTCAAAAGGATATTTTTGTGTTTGTATCACTGGTTCTGATTTCTCTGCTGTTACTTTATTAACTGAAAGATTGATTACATTCCTGTTTCTCTTTTTCCATAGGATCCCAATAATGTTGTCGCACCTGGAAATTCAAAAAAAATAAAATAAAAATAAATTTTTTTATGGCAACCTGTTCGTTCACCTTGGGTCAAGGTGAACACAAATGGCAGTGTTTCAAGAAGGTGATACTGCATAAACTGAAGGTTGGTCAAATCTCCAGATAGAAAGTGCCTGTACGCATGTAGTTAATGGTATTAAGAAGAAACATATCGATGCTCCCGCACAGCTCAAACATCGTTGGAATAGATTTCTCCAACATACGGAGTCTATGAATATTGAATGTTCTCCAATATCGTTCAGGCTTTTGGTAATTTCTCATTTACTACCCGGAAATTGTTGTTCGTATCAAGCAAAAATGTCCAGGGATGATGGCCCTTAAGCAAAATCATATCTACTCTTCATGGAAATGAACTGTTTGTTGTGAATCAGATAACAACCAAGATGGAAAGTTTCATAGAGGCGATGAGACAAGTAATCGACCTGTTTGTGGACGTGGAAGCAAATTTAGGGCGTCATAATGAGCAAAGAGAAGAAATGTGGTCATCTATTGAACTCTGTAATCCTATCTTAAACAACAGTTAAGAGAATGTACAAGCAACTGCTGCTAGATTGATGAGATTGTTCCTAAATCCTTAGTAATATTCAAAGTACTGATCTGTTTCTCACAGTTACACTTAGGCTACTTACAGAAAATCAGCTTTAGCATTTGTGCATGGACAAATAACAGTTTGATGAATCTCTCAGCTTGAAGAGCAACAAAATCATCGTATCTTGTCAGCAATTACATGGATCATTGAATGGAAGACCCCAGGAAGTACAGACTAAAAGACAGACTTCTACTGCTCAGAATAAATTTGTTTCTCTCAAATCCTGCCAAACACGAGGGCCTTCCGAAGCTGATTTACAAAACTTCATGAATGTGTTATCTGAGCATGCAATGAGAGTACTCAAGGCAAACATAGGTACTGCCTTTCCTTGTTCTGTGAGCCAATTATACATGATAGCCTAAGCTTGATCCTCTGCATTGAATAGTTTAGATATTTGAATGACAATAAAATGATATGGGATGACCCAAATCATGCACAAGAAAATCGATTTTCGCTTCAAGCATTCTTTTTCCGGCTAAGAATTCAGGTGACAATCTAATCATTTCAGAAACATCCTTTCTATCTAAGCCAGCATTCACAAAACATCAATCTCTCCTGAAGCTCCTCTCCTCTGCCTCGAAAGACTTCAATGCTCTTTCCGCTTCATTTGGATTCTGTATTAATCCCACATCCTCCAAGAACTTAGTCTTCGCCATTAGAGATCTTTCTCTGTCTCTTATCCTCGTAATCGTTTAACTTTTGAACCCCTAACTACATTTTTCAGATTGTTGGGATTCCCTGGATGTATTCACGAAGTCGCTTCTTCCCAACACCCAAATGGCCAAAAATGCACTAGTTCTCTTTAAAGTACATGTACCCAACAACATGGAATGAGATCGGAAAATCTTACCAATCTCATCCATCTCCATGTCAATCTCAAAAAGAACTTAAGCATTCCTTCAGTTTAAAAAAATCTTCCCACTGGAATTTGTGGGACTGCAGTAAAGTCAAACGAACTTCATCCAGAGTAACCCAAATTTTAATAAAGTCCTATCAGAGCAAGTGCTCCATCCCCTGAACCCTCCAAGAGCATTCCGGATGTCGCCGGATTAATTTACCTAACTGCTCCTCACACAATCCCATCTCGCTAAATAAGCTTAAAAGCCTAAGCATTTTACTCCATTATAAGAATTCTGGTCCATCGAGTGCTCCTCATCAAACTGAATTTACACCCCTATACTCTTCAATGTCTCTAACACCTTAACAAACTCCATATTTACATCCCCAATCAAGATATAAGGACTATAGACGATAACTTTACCAATAATACTCTGACTAAGCCCCAGTTTCTCATAAGCTTGAAGCTTCGATGACAGAACTCCAAAATCATATTGAAAAATGTCCCTTGCCTCCTTATAGATCTTCCCATTTTTTTCTCTCAACACCATAATTACACAAAACATAATAGTTCTCTAGCAACAAATCATCGTCACTCAGAACATCAAATTGCGAGGAAGAAAAGGACTATACTCACTACGTTTCAATCCTATACTCTCAAGAAAGGCTCAAATTCATTAATAGGATGATACTGCAAAAACCGAGAATTATCTCCTTCAAATCAGACTCCTCCTCCACCCATTTTAATAGCTTTTCAACAAATAAGGTGAGTTTTTGCTCATATTCTCAGCATCCAAACTGTAAATTCCTAGTCAAGTGCAAATACTCCAACAATGCAGCTTGAGCTGCCTTCCAGCAGCGAAGATAGTTTTACTAACATAATAGAATCACTACTAGCTGGTGAAATTCTAACTTTATTTTCAATATTTGCATTCTCAACCCCTCTTTTTCTTCCATAAAGTCTAGAGTTTTGAGCATGTAACAGACCCAGATGGCCAAACGGTGTGAAAATCTTCCCACTGGATTTTTCGGGACTGCAGAAACATCAAACGAACTTCATCCAGAGTATACCCAAATTTTAATAAAAGTCCTATCAGAGTAAGTGCTCCATCCCCCGAACCCTCCAAAAGCAGTCCTGGATGTCGCCGGATTAATTTACCTAACTGCTCCTCACTCAATCCCATCTCGCTAAAAAAGCTAAAAGCCTAAGCATCTTACTCCAATTATAAGAATTCTGTTCCATCGAGTGCTTCTCAGTCAAACTGAATTTGACCCCTATACTCTTCAATCTCTAACACCTTAACAAACTCCATATTACATCCCCAATCAAGATATAGGACTACATACAATAACTTTACCAATAATA